GAGGGGAGATGGATATCTATATGCTAATATGTCCGCACACATACATCTGCTTCATATGCATTTAAACCTTAATTTGACTTTCACTTGCCTTCCACTTTGGTTTCCATGGTAACCCTGGCCACTTATTTTTCTTTTAACCTCCTTTTCATTGTTTCAGAATGAGGTGAGTTGCGTGAGGGTTAACCGGGAGGGGGAAGACAAGAGAATTTAAAGCAATTATTTGGATTTTTTTTAAAGAAAACTGCCAACTTTGCAATTTAATGCAAACTGTCTCTGGTATATTTGCCCTGAAGGATGCTGTAGGGAGAAACAGGAGCCAGAATCCTTTTCGTCCCCTCCTCCCTGACTTCTATTATTACCGTGCACTTACTGCTAATACAGCATCTAAACTTGCAATCTCGGTAACTATGGCAATAAAATAGGTGAGATTCCCTTCCATTATGACTTGAATTGTTAGGTCTTTGCAAAGAGCATGTGCGTTTGCACAGGGGAGGAGGACGTTGCACTCTGGGGGAAAATAGTTATTTCAAGTCCCTGCGGGGAGTTGTCTGTCAGTCCACATCCACATGGAGAATTATCACTGTGCCTGTGCCAGAGGATGCAAAAATAGGGTTGCGGCCTGGCCATTGCAGTGCACATTCAGAGCTAGCAAAACATGCCTGTGACAGCCTGTAGAGTGTGAAGGTCTAGGCTGCACTGAGCCTAAAAGAGATGGCAGGTAGGAAGCAAGAAGCGGAGAGTCTCATCCAGGGGCCAGCAAACTTTTTCTCTAAAGGGCTAAATAGTAAGTATTTTAGTCTTTGAGGACCACACAGTCTCTGTTGAACCTATTCAACTCTGCGGTTGCAGCAAAAAAGCATCTACGGATAAAATGTAAATGACTGGGCATCCTGTGTTTCAATAAATTTTATTTATGAACACTGATGACTGAATTTGGAATACTCTTCACGTGTCATGAAATGGTGTTGTTCTTTTGATTTTTTCTCTCAACCCTTAAAAAATGTGAAAGAACTTGTCATTCATGGGCTGCACAGAAACAGGTGGTGAGCTGGATTTGGCCCGTAGGCCATAGTTTGCAATTCCTCATTTAATCTATGCAACTAACTGTGCATGCTACAATGGTAGATTTTCTAATTATTATTACCTGTGCTCGTTTATCATTATTACTATATTATTGCTACATTAGTAGCATTAAATACTGCTACTGTTATTGGCAGTGATTTTTATCATTTATTATGTGTCAAGTACTATATTAAGCTCTAAATATATAACCTTATTTAATCACCACCAAAAGCTACGATAAATAAGAAAAACAAGGCTCACAGATTGAGTTGCTCAAGGTCATATAGCTAGTAAGAATGGCTGACATTTAGATCCAGGGTCTTTCTGACTCTTACAGACATAGCATGGCTTTTCTTCTCATCAACATTCCAGCCTTCTGACCTGGGAGAGTCTCTATGTCCAACGGGTTCTGTCAAGCCCTGTTCTCGGAGGCCTGGGCCATCAAACCTAATGGTCCACTGTGGAATAGGTTCCAGGACTTTCAAGAACTTCCCTAGTGAAATGATTGCAATGAGGCAATGTCGACAAGAATTCACTTGGAACCGACTTTTGCCAGCCTAGCTCCCAGACCTCCCAATAAACCCTGTTGGTCCTAGTCTCTGACTTGCCCTTTGCTTTGGACTACATAGGGCCACATTCTCACTCACTATCTCCTGTCTACAGCTGTGCCCTTAGCATTCCAGCCTGCCTCTACTACCTTTCTGGCTTGCCCTGCCGTTGCCTCCTCGTTGCCTTTGCTGATCTGCCTTGATGCTGACAGTTTAGTCCATGGTCCATAGACATTTTTCACCAACCTGCTATTCTCAAGCTCCCACTCCCCATCTCCCACCTGCTTTAGGCTCTTTAAGGAGAAGTTCTGGGAACTTGAGAGCTCAGTGGGGAGAGAAAAATGCTCCATTGCTTTAGGGAGGGAATCACTGTCTTCTAAGCTGTAAAGAAGAAGATTTTAATTACTAGGTAGAGTCACATAGGGAAAAACTAGGAACCATGAGTAGAATTTATGAAGTAGCCAATTTCTCTTATACATTTCTTATTCTAGGTCACTAAATATACCTTCTGCCATGGGCAACTGTGATATCATAGAAAAAGATTGCCTGGTGAACTAGGATTCTGGATTCAGGGTTTTAGTCTCTTCAATTTTACTAGTTAACCACTGTCCCACTGCTCTTTCGGCTTGAGGAAAGTGACTCTATGACTGTGAAATTTGAAGTTTGGCCACAGCTGGCCTTGATTTTCTTGGCAGGCTGTGTGACCTTGGAAAAATCAGATTCCCTTCTCTGGGCCCTGGTTTTCCCATCTGTGTGAAGAAATCCTCTCCAGCTCCAGAGACTGCCGACTACAGCCCTTTCTGCTCTTCTCCTGAGGAACAGGCACATCTGGTTTTTTGGATCCATTACTCTGCAAACCTTTAAGAGATTTTCTCTCCCTCTTAGTCCCTTGGAATTACTACAGCTCTTTCTCTGGAAATAGCATTAGCCAGGCTCTGTGCTAAGCAAATGCATTTAGCTTCTCCCTATCTGATTTCTCTTCTTCTCATTTGTCAGCAAAGGAGAAACTTCCCAGCTATTAATCAAACTCCTGGCTGTGGATAGCTTTAATTGCAGAAGCCATTGCTGGATGAGGAATGAACTTTTCCAAAGAAAGCCGGCTGCCTTGCACAGAAGAGAAACAATTAATTACCTGCTTCTCTGGTCCCCAACAGGGATGCAGATGAACTAACGATATTGTTTCTGGCACTGAATTCTCTCTTCCCAAGGTGGAGGAGAGCTAATACAAACTCAGACAGCATTGATAAAGCTAGAATGCTCAAGTAGAAGTTTAGCTATAAGGCTCTGGTGGGACAGAAAGTCAGCTTCTGTACGGCATCTTTAAGGTAGAGACTGACAAGCTCTATACTTTATTCAGGGGAGTGTTTGGGACATGCCTAAAAGCCATACTCTGAGGAAGAATCTAGTGTAACAGAGAAGTTGAATAAAGTGAGGGAATGGGTGCAATTTTTAAAAATTTGCTTACATCACTGATTAAAGAGATTAGTTGTATTTTGTGTAGCCTAGTGGACAGAGCTAGAATTGTGGGTAGAATTTACAGTTTCATAGAAAGTTATATCTGGAACTCAGAATTGTATGCCCATGGAGAGAGATGTTTTTCCAAATGTAGTTAATCTCTTGTCTCTAGAGATATTCAAGAACCACTGCAGATGTTGCTAGAAAAATCTTTGTATTAGATGGGAAGTTTATTAAAAGAATCTTGAATAGGTCACTTCCCATTCTTAGGGTCCTTGTCTTACTATTTTCTTTGGCTTACAGCAAAGCTTTCAATCTGGTAGATGACATAGGAGGAGTGGGTGGGAGGAAGGCAAACTGGCCCCAAGATGACAGTCTGTTTGAATAAAAGCCATGTATTGGAAAGCTATGGGAGCTAACCTTGGAATACTTTTTTTTTTTTTTGAGACGGAGTTTCGCTCTTGTTACCCAGGCTGGAGTGCAATGGCACGATCTCAGCTCACCGCAACCTCCGCCTCCTGGGTTCAGACAATTCTCCTGCCTCAGCCTCCTGAGTAGCTGGGATTATAGGCATGTGCCACAATGCCCAGCTAATTTTTTGTATTTTTAGTAGAGATGGGTCACCATGTTGACCAGGATGGTGTTGATCTCTTGACCTCGTGATCCACCCACCTCGGCCTCCCAAAGTGCTGGGATTACAGGCTTGAGCCACCGCTCCCAGACTTGGAATACTTACTTTTTTAAAAAAATCTTCAATTTCCACAGGGATATGATAGTTATGATATTCTCTCCGGAACTTGGTGCTAGAATCTATGCTGTTTTCTCTATATCCCCAATAAGCTAACAGATACCTGGCATAGGGAAAATGTTACATCATGTGTGAAATGATCCAACATTTACTTTGGATTGAGTAAATTTTAAACTTTCACTTCTGGTGTGAGTCCTGGGAAGCAATGTTTTATAGTTATGAAGGGAATGAACCTCAGTGAGACTGCCCTGAGCCTAGAGCTTAACTCCTTATTTACTAGGTCAGCAAATTTCGTCAGGTGGCAAAAAGTCAGTGCCTCAGTTTCCCCATCTATAAAATGAAGCTACATTCATATATCCCATGGCACTGTCATGAAGATTTAACAAGGTTATAAATGCAAAGTGTTTGCAGCAAGGATTATAGCCGGTTACTTTTTTCACTACTTGAAATGTGCCAATAACTTTTCTGTGCATTTCACACATATTATTTATTTTAAGTCTCATATGACACTGAAGAACTGAGAGGTTAACTGATGTACCTAAGGTCACACAGTGAGGAAATGGTAGCACTGGGACTCTGAGCTATTGATCACTGTTTGCCTAAGCTTGATCAGCATTGGCTATCATTTGTGTTTTACTTTTGCCTCATCCTATCTCTCAATACATGCTAGCTTCTACTCGTTGCTCTTCTTCATTCCTTGGCTATAGGTGTGACTACATGTATTACTTCTCTACTGCACCATGAGTTTCCAGAGCTCTGACATCAACCTTGTTTGATTTCTTAGTACTTTTTCTGTAAAGCCTTGTATGGCCTTTGCTTTTGATAGATGCTGTTCATATGCTGGGTGATAAATGAAATAAATGATTCTCCCTTATTTAATGGAGCCATGCTGTATGGAAGTGGACTGTGGATCTGTGCTCAGGTTCCGGTTTCTTTAGAGCACTGGATTAAAGCCTTACCTTGGTCAACTTTTTTTCTTTTCTTTCTTATCTTATTTTTTGGTTTATCTGTTTACTTACTTATTTACAGGCAGAAAGGCATGTTGAAAAACACCAGGGCTGTATTTGGGTAATCCAGTCCTCAGCACTACAGGAGCTGTTAACTTGGGAAAGTCACCTAACGTTTCTGGGCTTTGATTTTCCTATCTGTGATGTAAGCAAATGAAAACCTGTTTTTGAAGATTCGTCAATGACATTGAGGAAGCGAATTATCTGGGGAACCTTTAGGGATGAATACTTCCCACATTTACTTGTCAATCTGCAAAACTCCCAAGGAGAAAATATGTGGTTTATTCTAACAAGCCACTACTGTTCTTGTCAGTGACTTCCCCTCTTAATTGCCCCGCTTCGGGTTTACTTCAGTTCCTGGTAAGACCAAGACTTCCATCTTTCACTGAATTACCTTTCCTTGAAGTCAGAATGTAGTGCATCAGGTATGAGGTGGGGAGGCGCTTAATGTCTTCATCATGGTCTTTTCAGTTGCTTGACCTATTTTTAAAATTTTTCTTTACTTTTTTTTTTTCTTTGCTTGAAGCATTTTTCAGTCTTTCTTTTCTTTGCTGTCCTTTCTTCTCTGGTGTCTATCAGGCTCTCTCAACAGCTTCAAATGGAAAACTTTGAAGTAAGTGAACTTAAAAGAAGAACTGAAAACTCAGCCTGATGCCCCGAAGTCCCGTGGGCAGCCTAGCCACAGTCACCTGGTGGAACTCATTAGCGCAGGCCGTTCTCATCAGCGCCACGGAAGACGGAAACGCCGGGGTTCCTGGCTCTGAGCCTCTGGAGCGCCAGCACCTTCGCGGGGCTACGCGGGGCTCGGGGAGCGGCGGCCACGGCTTCTGCGCGCTCGCTCGCTCACTCATTCACAGGGTCTGGGCAGCCCCGCGGGGACCCGGCTCTGCGCGCAGCGCATTGTGCAGCTGGCGCGGCCGCGCAAATGACATCTGAGCCTCCTTTCAAGCCGCCGGCTGCTTTCAAAAGTGTGTTTTGAAAGGTTGGACTCCCCTGACTCCGCACTGGAGAACGGAACTCGGCTTTTTATTAGAGGACGGCCTGGGACACGTGCCCGCCTCTGCGGCTCGCGCCTGCGTTGATGGGAGAATGAAAAGCAGACTTTGTCTGGTGGGTGTTCCTGAGCACGGTTTCCATTCCTTTATTTACACAAGAAATGTTCCGGCTCCTGGAGTTCTCACTGGCCGCTGGGAGATGAATGGGCTATTTGAAGTGAGAACATTGAAGGTGTTTCGTTGGGGAAGATATATATATATATACACGCACTATGTGTGTGTGTGTGTGTGTGTGTGTGTGTGTGTGTGTGTAGTTTTCCTCCTCGCTTTCAAAACTCGATGATAATCATTTTACTTAGGGAACAGATTGGGGTGAGGAAGAACGTAAGAATACATGTAGAATTAAACAGGATGTTCCCTACACTGTTCGAGGTTTGGAAATCCCATTTCTGTTAGAAAAGGGAAAGATTCACAGCTACAAAACCTTTCCTTTTCTTCTTTTGCCCCGGGTTTTTGGTCTCTGCAGGAAAGGAGGTAGGAAGATTCAGTGGTGAGAATGTAGGCTCTGTAACCACACAGCTGGGGTCTGGATTTTCTGCAGTGACCTAAGGTTGTGAAGGTGTCCAGCTCATAGCAACCCTCCTGTCTTTTCCTTCAAGGAGGCAGCACCAGAGGATAGACCTTAGAGTTTGTATTTGTGCTTCTTCTGACTCCTGTTTTTTTTTTTTAATCACATCATTGATTTATGATTGACATATTAGAAGCTGTACATATATAATGTATATCAGTGGCCCCCAACCTTTTTGGCACCAGAAACTGGCTTTGTGGAAGACAATTTTTTCATGGACTGGGGTGAGTGGGGGCAGGGGATGGTTTTGGGGATGATTCCAGCACATTACACTTATTGTGCACTTTCTATTATTATTAAATTGTAATATATAATGAAATAATTATACAACTCACCATAATGTAGAATCAGTAACAGCCCTGAGTTTGTTTTCCTGCAATTAGACGGTCCCATCTGGGGGTGGTAGGAGACAGTGACAGATCATCAGGCATTAGATTCTCATAAGGAGTGTGCAACCTAGATCCATTGCATGTGCAGTTTTCAGAAGGATTCATGCTCCTATGAGAATCTGATGCTGCAGCTGATCTGACAGGAGGCAGAGCTCAGGTGGTAATGCGAGCAGTGGGGAGTGGCTGTAAATAAGGATGAAGTTTCACTTGCTCCCTGGCCATTCACCTCCTGCTGTATGGCCTGGTCCCTAACAGGCCACAGAGACAGGTACCAGTTTGTGGTGGTGGATGAGGGTGGGGTTGGGGATCCCCTGATGTGTGCGACTCAGTGACTTTGGGGATAAGTATACAGGTGTGAAACCATCACCACCATCAATTGCGTAAACATATCCATCACCTCCCAACATTTTCTCCCACCCACAGATATTATTATTATTTGTGGTATGACCACTTAGTATAATACCTCTTCTTTTAGTAAATTTTAAATATACAATATGATATTGTTAGCTAGAGGATCTCGACAACATGGAGGGACCTGGAGGACATTATGCTAAGTGAAATAAGTCTCTGAATCCTTGCACAAAGGCTGAGTTTCTAACAGTTCGCAGATCACCAGTGCTTTCCTTCACACTGGCTCTCATTGGTGGAGCTTGTCTGTGCTATACCCATCTTCATATCCTTACAGTAATATTCTTACATACTTTGATAAACCCAGCTTTGTAAAAGCCACCCCTGTCATATTGAGCAGCTTCTGTTTTAGAAGCATGGTTCAGCCCACAGGAAATCCAAAAGCATTCAGCACTGTACTGTGTTAAAGAGAAAATGCTGGTACTCTGCTCCAGGACGACTTATTTGGAAGGATGATTACTTATTCAGGGCTTTATAGGAGGATTATCAATGAATCAGTATGATCCTGGAAGAGCATATTGACAAAAACTTTCCCAGAAAGGGAGTACAGATTTAATGCAACAGTCCTTGAGAGAGGTCTTATTATTCCCTTCTTACAAGAAAGTAGTATTTAGGATCTGTGTGAATTCTCAAGGCAGCACAGAAAGTAGTGAAGCCAGAAAATAAGACGTAGGTTTTCTGACTTTAAGTGGATGCTCTTTCCGCAATACCATACATGGTGAATTTTCATCCTTTGTATGCCCACCCCTCTTCCTGTCTAGAACTCTATCTCTTAATTCGTTCTCTCAAAGTTTTGTGCCCAGAATCCTTATAGAGCTGTGACAGGCAGTCTTGGGCAGACAGCCCACTGGGTACCCTGCGATGAATAGTACAGTTTCCATTCTCACAAATAGGCCATGTTATGTACCAAAAACCTATTCCCTTTAGCAGGAGGAAACTGTTAATTACAGTCGCTCATGGGCTCTGTGTTCCAAAAAGATCCAGTGCATGGCTCTGTGTCTAGCCCAGCCCAGCAGAGAAAGGCTAAATTGTGTTTGAAAGCCTTACAAGGGGAAATTTAATTGAGGCATAAAATGTCTGCCTTTGGTCTTCCCAGGACCTGTGGTTCTCTCATTACCTGTATCCTGTTCCTGATGACACAAGTTGGAATAAAGCCTGCAGTGAGTCCTGTGCCAAAGGCACCAAGCAGGATGTTATAGCTGCCACCGTCCCCTTCTTTTCACCAGGACAGAACACTCTGCCTGTGTATATTTATCAGTGGGATACATTTGAAGCAGCCTCAAACCTGATCTCTGCATTCATTTCCCTGTCTTATAAAACAAGCCTGTGTCCCAGCTTTCAAATACCTCTGTGAAATTTTTTACTCTTCCCTTCAAAAACTGTGCACACTGCTCCAACATGCACCTCCAGTACAATTCTCTCATACTTATTTCAAACCCTGGCCTCAACTGCATGAATCACTGATTTAACAGCTGGATTTCAGTGTTTTGCAATATGTCACCTTCACTCACTCACTCATTCATTCACTTACTCTGTCCTTCACTCATTTACCTGTGCATTTCTTTAATCATTCACTCATTGGTTTGTCCCATTTTAGTCTTCAGTTGACTAGACCAAGGAGATAAGAATTAATGTGAAAATATACGGATAGAGAGGGCTGAAACAGTGGTCTTTCTGCAAAACCCTGAGAAGTGTTCACGCAGAGGTTATGTGAAGGTCCAAGGTAGTATAATGTCCAAGTCAGCTTAGTGTAGCACAATGAAGTTAGGTTTGGAAGTGAAAGATCTCAGCATTCTTACTTAGCAGTATATGACTTTGGGCAAGATATATGACTGCTGTGAGCCTTGCTGTTTTCATTTATAAGAGGGAGGTGCTAATGTCTATCTTGCAGAATAATCTTGGGAAAGGGGGTAATATGTGTAAGTACTTAGCATGGAGCCTGGTACACCATTGCTGAGGTTGGCATTATCATTATTATGACTGCTGCAGCTGTTCATTCATGAAGGAAAAGGTTGGTGGGGACCCAGATGGATAGAAGATGAGGTCCTGCTTCCTCTGGGGAATCATGGATACTCTAATGCTTTTATGAGTGAAAATCTGGAAACGGACTTTCCTTGAGGAAGCCTTCAGCAGGAAATCAAATTGCTGCTTTTCTCAATTTCTCCTTCATCAGCCCCTGTAAGAAAGTTGGAAGCTCCTGTCTACAGGACAGTGGGGGTGATTTCTGGAAAGTGAGAAAAACAGGTGAGAGTGTGCATGATGGCAGCAACACACGGCCAGGTGAGCAATGTCTCACTTCCTGCCCTCCATCATGGGACGCAGTCCCTATTTAAACAATTTTGTTCATTGATTGTTCACTCATCTATTTATATCATATTTATGTTTGACCTTCTAATCTCTACTGGGGGGCCTACACAGGTTTGCACTGCGTTATCCCCCTTTCTGCCACTGTATTTCTTAGATAGTTTTAAATATCATTATTGTATCAGTCCACTTTCAAGCAGCTGATAAAGACACACCCAAGACAGGGTAATTTACCAAAAGAAGAGGTTTAATTGGATATACAGTTCCATGTGGCTTGGAAAGCATCACAATCATAGTGAAAGGCAAGAAGGAACAAGTCACATCTTACATGGATGTCAGCAGGCAAAGAGAGAGCCTGTGCAGGAAAACTCCCCCTTATAATAACCATCAAATCTCAGGAGACTTACTTACTATCTTAACAACAGCATGGGAAAGACCTGCCCCCATGATGCAATTACTTTCCACCAGGTCCCCCTCATGACTCCTGGGAATTATGGGAGCTAAAATTCAAGATGAGATTTGGGTGGGAACACAGCCAAACCTTATCAATGATGATGATGATGATTTTTTAGACAGAATCTCATTGTTACCCAAGCTGGTGTGCAGTGGTGCAGTTTCAGCTCACTACAAGCTCTCCCTTTCAAGCTCAAGTAATCTTCCAACCACAGCCTCTCAAGTAGCTGCAACCACAGATGTGTGCCACCAGAACCAGTTAATTAATTAATTTATTTATTGGTAGAGACAAGTTTTCACCATTATGCCCAGGCTGGTCTTAAACTCTTGAACTCGAGCAATCCACCTGCCTCAGCCTCCCAAAGTCCTGGGATTACAGGCATGAGCCACTGCATCCCGCCTAAAATTTTATTATCTCTCCCCCTCCACCACCTGAAGCAGCTCTCCTCTATTCAGGTATGTGATTCTAGGAAATCTAATATGTAAAATAGATAAGTGGTTTGCTTTAGTTGAAGTGAAAGATGAACTCACGAAGCCTGCCTACTCAGGCTTCTCTAGTTCTGCCCCCCTGCCCTATGCAGCATTACAGGGATTCCTGATACCTCCCTTTAGTACAGAAATTAAATAACTGAAGACATCACAAGGCTGTTGACAATGCACAAGGCAACCCTGTTTCATCAGATAGGCTGGAATATCAACTGTTTGCACCAACATGTTCAACAGCAAGGGTTAATATATTTATCACTTACACAAAAGGATCAGTTTTGTGGAAAAAGCATGGGGTGTGGGATATGGGATGCAGGAGGAATAAGGAAGGCATGGGGAAGTATGCTGTCACACCGCTTGTCTCATAGAATTGTCAGATAATCCTGTGATTTTAGGAAAGTGTCACCACCACCATCACTGTTCTCATTTTTTGGACTAGGAAACTGC